TAAATCTACAAGAATTTTTTTTAAATGAAATATAATAAAACAAAAATAAGATTGGTAAAGATTTAAATGACTTTACCGTGATATCTTCCGACATTAATATTACATTAGTAAAATGTTATTATATTATTAAAATAAACAGTAAAAATTTATAATATCTAGATTTATATATGCAGTAATGTTTATGAAGATAATTCAAGAAATTTTAACTTGAATTTTGCTAGTGAAACGACTTACAACTTCAATTCTGGCTTCAAGCAAATAAACATAAATTCATCCTTTCAGTGTATAATTAATGTGAAGTGCAGAGAGGATGTAACTTAGACAATAACTCTTCAGTTTACCTTCAGGCGTGGAGACAGAATAGAAGGTTAAAACTTTCGTATGTTACGCCTATTGATTGCTATTTGATGTCGTCAAACATGAAGTTAGACGTATCTTAAGGCTATAATATAATTTTTCTGACAACATTGCATATTGCTTTTTCTGACACTTTTAAAGTTGTAAAACTATTCATTTTTTCCACACAAAAATTTCCACTTTTAGTTAAAGCTCTAAAATCTTCTTACGATAATCTCTTCTTAGTTTTAAAATTTTCTAAAAATCTAATTATTATATTATAATTTAACAAATTTTATTTTAGAATATTTTAAAATAATCAGCTTAATGAAATAATAATTGAGGAAAATTTTCAACGTCTGAATGCATTTCTTTATTAATTAAAGTGACGTTTAATCACGTGTTATGTTTACGTAATATTGCAGAGTTCATTTTGAAACTTTTATTTTAAACTAGTTTTCATTTGCAGTCGATATTCTCTTCTAAAATTATACCAGATAACTTATTTACTAGACGAGTCGAATCACTTCAAAACTCGTGAGCGGTAGGTGGAAAGTATTACCATCAATTTTCTAAGCTTTCTTCATAATTGTACCAGAAACCCATTATCTTCTAATCCAATTTGGCCAGCTTCTATATACCAAAAGGACATTTGCTTAATTCCATTATAGTTATTCAAAGAGATACGAGTGCCAAATATCTCGATTTTGTCTTTTAATCTACCGCTTTAACAAGGTTGCTCATATACTAGTTACAAAATCAAATGCCTATGATCGAATAATCTTATTTTCCTTTAAACTTAATTACGAAATTAATAAATATAATCAAGAAATTAAGTTCGTTTCAAGTTTTAATCGTTTATAAAACTTTTCTCTTATTTATTTAAATCATTTCTATAAGAGAATAATTAATGCGAAAATGAGAATATTTATAATCTAATTTGTTTCGGTTATAAATTACTCGTAAACTTATTACTGTAAAATATGCTCCCTTCACGTGATTACTGTTAAATATAGAATCATTCGGAAGTGCACTTAATAATATTATTGTTATACGTACAGTACACTCTAATATGTTTATAATGGTTATATACAATGAACGAGCTTATTCTCTGCTTATTTTATTTTGAATTTCTCCATTTTATTTACGTAGAGTTATTATCTAAAATGTCATATAACCGTAAACACGATAACAGGTGCTTAGTATTGGAAATCTTCTCGTGTTACTAATGTTTTTCTTCTTGAAACTTTGCTTTTATATGTCATTTTTATTTAATTGGTAACCTGAACTCATAATTTTTAAATACCTAAACTCTAATGATTTAATATAAACTTAATTATTTAAAAATAATTACTTATATTAGTCAACTGAAGTTTATTGCTAATTGTAAATGTTGAAATTTAATAGAAGTATTTGAGAATACAGTATTTACTTTTCTATTAGTTTATATTATTTCTTATCATTGATTTTTAATTCACCAATTTGATAGATAGAATTAACGTTATTTTTATAAAATAAGTGATTTTAATTGTTTCCTATTTTATTATTTCATAAAATTGGTCTTAAATTCTCTAATCAAATTTTCATATTTATGTTATAGCCGTACAATATGTTTACGTAATAATATATCATTATATCAGGAGATAGATAAACCGAAATATTAATTGTAACTCATAATTTTATAATAATTAAATGAATCAATTAAAAAAAAATAAGTTAGTTTGACTCTAACTCTCGAAGAAAGGAAGTTTTATTTTTTTGTTGTAGAAAAATAATAAAATGAAAAAAATTAAAGAAATTATTTTAATCCTTAATAAACTTTCATTAGCCTATTTTTCTAAAGTGAAAAGCATTCTTTTCTCTTAATTTCATAGGAATAATGTTCAGGTGTCTGGCTAGATCGACTAGTTTAGGTGGAGATTAGTCTCTGGTACAATAGGTCACTTCTCTCGTAGCCATTGAGGTGTATATAATCAGGTCTTTGTGTAGTGTAAATTGAATGGGGACTTCAAGGAGATGGACTCGAATGAAGAGAAGACAATAGAATGCTTGTATGTCCTACAGTTTTGTCTGTCTTGCAACGATAATTCTGTAGAACTGTAGTTTATAGCTGTGAAGAATGAACCTGAAGAACTTAACTGATTAGATACTTGTTGCTTTCGCAAATTGACAATTTATAAACACAAAAGAGTCTGTAAGTGATAAGAACTCTATAGTTATCAGAACAGACACCTGACAATAACACCCTTTAGATTTTTTCCGGCAATGTTTACTCTAGCGTATAAAGTTTGTAATTAATTCTAAACGCGATACTCTGTCATGCGATATCAAAAAATACGAGTTAATTATAGTATAAATTTATGAGTAATAAAAGTATAATTAATGTTGAATTTATTTCCATTAATGATTAAGTAATGTGGATGGATATTCTTTATCAAAATTGAACTTTTTTAAAAGCTGGAAAGTCAATATTTATTTGTATATTTAACGATATAAATAAATTTACATTATAATTTCTTATCATCATTTCACAGTTGACTGAAATTTTCTCTTCCCTATTGTTCAGTAACCGAAGATTTTTTAAATTTAAATCTAACCAGATTACTTTATAAAAACCAGATTGATGATTCAGTACATTTCTGGTGTACGTTTTCATTTCATTGAAAACTACCGGAAATTGAGAAATGAGAATTAAAGTATTATCTTCCTTCTAAAGAAATTTCGATTTATTGACATAAACGATAAGATTTCAGACAAAAGTAATTACACCAATCAATCTTCTTGCAAGAATTTTTTATACAGTTTATTAGATTTTTTTCTAAATTTTTATTAAATATATATAGATATTTTTAAAAAGATTAATAGTTTTATGTCAATATTATATCCACTTTATCTTCCAAAAGTTTTATAAAACTCTTAAAAATTCATTTATTCTAAGAATGATCACTTATTAAATAATTATTTCGTAATTATTCTTGGAATGATGTGATGTTGTCTACTCATTTACTAAATTTAATTTCAAACATGTTCAGAAAAATGTATTGTGAAAGCTGGTTTAATACGGATAACCGAATGAGATAATTTGATGGTATGACTGGGAAATTCACCAAAACAACATAATAGGAGAATTTATTTATTAAATTTTAATAGAATTTTAATTTAAAATCCGGTTAAATTGAATGCAGTATGAGAAAATGTTTCCTTCGTCGCTTTGTATCATATCAAATTACGTTGATAATTTAGGTTGAGTTTTAAGTGATTGAATTTCATCCGCAATCTTTAATTTTTTTTTTTAAATAGTTACAATTACTTTAATTTTAAGAATTGTGTTAATTTTTAAAATTTACTTATAGTAATTGCTTGTGAAATTAATTAATTTTCATTTATTTCTTTATTTGAATTACAGGTGATGTCTCGAGGACGATGTTTTCCGCCCTTCAATACGACAAACAATCAATAAAATCCATTAAAATATACACTAAAACACTAAATAACATCTGTAAAAATAACATACATTATCTTAATAACATATATTTACATAAAAATATAAATTTATTTTTAAAAATAAGCTGGATATTTTAAAATATATATACTTTTTAATTTCAGAAAAATATATTATTCCACCATAATTTCAGCACAAATTCAGTATGATTCCATCATGAATTATGTTGGATTTTTCTAAAATAAATAAATTATATATCATTATTGCTGGTTAAGTTCAGAAAGATTCAAGATGAAAATCTATATATTTTATGAATAACGAAACATAATATAGCGAAATTATTCAAAATGCATTAAAATATTATCATTTAAGAATGTAGTAAATATTATTTAAAAAATTTTATACAATATTAATTTAAAATTGATCAAATTAAGCAACGTTTACGCTCAATTTGTAGGACATTAATTAGTTTACATCATATTGACAAATTTGAGATGAGTTTAGCGAATGGTTTAGAAATTATCTATAAAGTAAATATTAAATTTTATTAAAGAATTTTATCTATTTTACTTTCAAAAATTTTATAAACTTATGAAAATATATTCTATACATTTAAGAAGTAGTAACTTAGTTTATAGTATACATCACAGATTATGCTTAGTATTATTTTTTTTTAATAATCAAATTATAATCAGGTAAGAAGATCGATAATACAGTATAGGCCTATACATTACTTTAAATCTCAAATATAAACTTATCATTGATATATCTTAGGAAAATCATGTATGACCATCAAACGACTTCCTCCATTAAATGCATCGTTGTTTATTGAAATCAAATAGAATATTTTTAAAAAATATACTGTTTAATATCAAATAATTTATAAAATATATAAACGTGTAAAAGTAGAAGGAGAATGCACACTTAAATCGGGTTACCACGTTAAGCCATTTTTGGGGGATTTAGTGGATAGATCAGAACGTTACAAACAAAAAAACAGACGTCTTTTCTAAACTAATCAAATCATGTTTAGAACATGGAAAAAAAATATTTGTTTCAGTCAAAATCACAATATTGATTTTTCTATAAAAAAGGTATTTTCTCGCATATTAGATTTACCCATTAATTATGCACCAAAGAAAAGCGTAACAAAGACTTTGTATAAGCGATATACGTAAACAGTAAAAGTGCAAACTGTCATGGACCTTGATAAAAAAAAAAAATATTTATAGATTCCATAAAGTTTAAATTTTCGTTAAGTAAATTGTATCGAAGATTTTAAGATTATTATTTTTCCTTGCCAAGGTATTAGCAACCAACCGGGCCCTCTAAGGATTAGGCCTCATGAATTACACTACCTGCACCTAGCTAGATGTAGCATTGTATAGGCCTATAAATATAAGAATAATATAATTTACTGATTTAAATGCTAAAATAATAAAATTTCAAAGCTCAATTATTATGATTTGGCTGTTGAAATTAACTATAACAAGATAAAACACTGCATTGTTGATTAAACACCTAGGAGCTACGTTGATAAATTTAACAGGAACTTTAGTGACGCATTTATAATTTCTTTTTCTTTTTTTCTTTTTAATTCAAGTTTGAAAAATCGTACGAGAAACTAAAACATAGTTTACAATTATTGTCAAAATTTAGAACAATCCATTCATAACGTGCTAAAACGCTAACAAAATAAATTATCCGTCCAATTAAAATAGACATAATCCATAATTCTCCGAAGGATCGTCAATCAAAAAAGGAAAACAAAGTTTTCGATATTACTAATTTTCAAAACCGTTATTATTAATTATCTTAAAAAACAAAAATAAATTTAATTTTTAAATGAAATTGTTTATAAATTGTCATTTTAAGTATTGAAAATTTGTAAACCACCAACAATTCATTCAGTTCCAGTAGAATGAAGAAAATGAATAGAGAATTTCTGCTGAGTTGTTTAAGTCATGGTTTTGTAGCAAATGAGGGGAAGTTTCGTTATAAATCTTAAGACGGTTGAAAAGAAGTTGAAGAGTGTTATGTATACTGGACCCAGTTTTCGTAAAGTACTTGTATTTTGTGAGTTACAAGAAGCTTCTTTAGTAGTTGTTTTTGCATATCGATTCTAAATTACGTACATTGTATGAGAAAAGAAATAACCGAGTCAATACTACAGAAAAAATAAAGTTATCTAGCTTACTAGACAAACCACAAGTAATCAATTTTCGTTCTTGCAGAGAATTCAATGTTGTAGATCGCAGATACGAAGTTTCTCGTTTTAGAATGAAAAGAAAGCAATGAAGGGTTTGTTAATAGCTTAGGGCATGAAAACATGACGTTTGTTAGTAATCTCTCTTTCCTTTCTGTGTCCCTTTTTTTTTGTTTGTTTGTTCTTTTTTTTACGTTCCAAATTTTTATTGTTAGTAATCGAATTTGGTGTTTGTCAACGATGGAGAATCATTAGACGTCTTTCAAGTTTATGTTCCCATTCTAAGGTAACATGTTCGAGTTTCGAACGGTACTTTTCTTATTAAATATGCCAAAAAAAAAAAGGGTAAGGTAAGAAATTTAAAAAATTTTCTGCACAAAATATTGAAATTTCTATGTTCTATTGTTTTCTCCCCTCCTAGCCGATAAAGAAAATGTTGCAAATTTACAAATCCTCATAAAACAAGAAAAATTTTTTTTGAATAATTCATTGCAGTTAAACCATCGAAGTCTAAGAGCAGGTAACTGAAGAAGAATTTAATTTTAAAATCCTACTTTGTCATCCCTTGGGAACGGAGTTATTATTGATATTCTCATTTGGACAACATAGTAATATTAAGCACTAAGTAAACAATGATTTTTGCTTTTCGATAGCTTTAGGCGATGTTGTAAACACCAAAAGCATCAAGATAAACAGAGAAATCGAAATATGGAGGAAGTAAAGAATTTGTTTAAAAGCTCCATTGAGAACTGCTGAAACATTCTATTTGAATAGAATTGATAAAGGAATTCTCGGGTTTAAAGTAAATATTGAATAGAACAAGTAGTACATTCATTAATTGAGAGATGAAAGATTTGAAAAACCAATAGAATTATTATAATAATATACCATGTTTACAATTTTAACATACATTATACAGTGCCTATAATATAAGTAGAGCATTATAAATAATAATAATAAAAAAATGATTTATTTATTCATTTTTAAATTGAAAATTAAATCTATCAATAATAACATATTTATATTTATTTAGATTGAAAGGTTTCGAAGAAATATTATATGTCTAGATTTTATTTGTCATTTTATATATATTTATATAAAAATATGAAACTTTGTAAACCTGCAATACAGGGATAGAATCTATATTTTATTTAAATATTTATGAAGGATAGAAATATCTATTATTATGGATATTTATGTTGACTCTACGAGAAAATGTATTCAGTTTTTTTCATAAAAGATCGTAAAATATGTTCCTATATGTTCACATTTAACTGTGATAGATTTCCTTACATAAACATTCAAAACAGAAAATGTATATTTTTACGTACAAAAAGAATTCTTTTCGGAGGTTAAATTTTTTTTTTAAATTTTTTAAAAATTAAATGAACTAATTAACTAGTATTTATGATATTAAAAAAAATTATAATTATAAATTAAGTTTGTTTTATAAATGTTAACGGTTTTTCCAATTTAAACAACATTATCAAACATGACGAATTTATTTAAAAATAAAGAAATATTAGATCAATTATAGAATTTCGCTTAACACTCAACACTACTTAAGAAAAGAGAATTTTCGTGTACAATCACCATACAACAACATGCTACAAACATCGCCTAGTTAATCAGGAACCGTTCGTCTTGTCAATGTGTTGTAAGTTAGTAAGGACACAATGAACTGTGAAGCCGAAGAGAGCAGATGTAGAATTCCCACGTTCTGCACTCAACTTCGATTTATTTCTTAGCTCATCCCCATCAGGATTTCCTACCCATTTCTTTCCAAAGCACTAAAAGTTTCATAGTTTTTTTTTTCCTGTACGGTATATTTTTATAAAATATATGTTAAGCTACGAACCATGCACTTTTCAGATAACTCATATCTTACCGATAAAAGCACAAAAGAAAATTCATATAAAAAATACGTTTTCTATATGGATTAAACATGTAAAATTATTACTGATTAAGTATTATCATCAATAATACTAACGATATATTAATAACTCATTTAGATTTTTTATTATTAACTAAAATTTCCCGATTCATATCAATGGATTTATAATACTTGGGCAATAAAGGAAAAGAAATGAAAAAATATATATAAATGTATATATATTTAGCGAATTTATATTGGGTGTGTTATATTATGCAAATGTTCAATCGAGTATATATTATTTTCTTCTGCCATTTCGTTTGTGACAGAATTAATTTGCTGCATCGTACTCCAGTTGTTGATGGGTGATAAATTGTACAGACAAGTTGTCACATCTACTGCTATTCTTAAAGATATTTCAGTAAATAATAAGTGGAAAAGAAAGAAAAAAAGATTCTTGGTTTATTTCTAATAATCGAAGCCGTAAGATTAAAAAGAAAAATAAAAAAGAAAGCTAAATAAAAGAATTTTTGAAATAAGCAACATCATATTAACAATAAGCCTTATGTTATCTTTCAGTAAGTTAAAGTAGATGTAAAATAAATTTTATTAATTTTTTAAAATAATATTTTATTGATAAAAGCGATTTATTTTCAATATTATTTAACAATTTCTATTTATTAATTATAGTTCAATTCAATTATTTTTTAAATAATTAAATATATCGTCTTTAAACTAGCTTCAAGTTTTGGAATATTACGTAAGAATTTAATTTCGGTTATAAAAATTTTATCAACATTTTTATAAAAATTTTATTAGCAATTTTAACATTTAATTAATTAACTTTTTTACGTTGTGTAAACTTTTAATATCTCATAAGTTAACGTTGTGTTATATAAGTTTTATGACATTTAAACTGTTTTAAAAATTAAATTGTAAAAATATTTAAAAATTGATATTAAAATTAA